GACCCCTCTTCTGCCAGGGTGACGCTGAGTGCGAGTCCCACCTCGGGGAGCCTCGTGGTCAGTTCGGTCAATGGCACTTTGCACTCGTTCAACATCCTCGACGGCATTGTGGACTTCTTCCAAACGTACATGCTCTTGATCATTGTGGTGGGCTCCCTGCTCCTCATCTTCCTTTCCATTGTGTGTGCAGCTGTCATCACACAGCAGAAACACAAGGCCTCTGCCTATTACCCGTCGTCTTTTCCCAAAAAGAAGTACGTGGACCAGAACGACAAGGCCGGGGGCGCCAAGGCCTTCAGCGAAGTCCCTGAGAAGACCTCTGATGACGACCGAGAGGAGCCGGTGGATTCCACCAAACAGTTGCAGGCCGACATCTTGGCTGCTGCCCAGAACCTCAAGTCTCCGACCAAGGTCGTCCTGGCGAATGGGAGAAGTGCCCCCGTGGAAGACTCACCGGTTGAAGGAAAAGAGGAAGGGGCCCAAAAAACAGAAGGAGTGGAGGATGGCAGCTCCAAAGAAGAAGATGAAGAAGAAGAAGAAAAACCACCAGCTGAGGCTGATCTGCCTCCAGAGACATCAGCTCCAAACAATTTGGAAGATGCTGAGGCCAAAGAAGAGGTCCCATCTGGGGTGGAGACCCATCCATCTCCTCCTGAGGAGTCCAAGGAACCCCCACCCACCGAGAATTCTGCCCTGCCCGTCTCAGAAGGTGAGGAGGAGAAGGAGAAGGAGGCGCTCAGCATCCCACTGACTCTTGACCCCACAGAAGAGTCCCAAAACTGAAGGAGGTCTGTTCCCATCAGTGGGGGGGACAGTTTATAATATGAAATCTACAGGGATCTGTTTATCAAATAGAAGGGAGCAGATCTTTACATTACCTGTAAAGAAGACAAGTTAGCCACCTCCCATGCTAGGAAACACCCCAAAGTTCTACATTGTTGTGGTTTTGCTTTAATGGACCTTCTTCAATTATGCAGACTTGCCCAACTTGGCGCCCTCCAGGTGTGGGAAACCCAGACTCCCATCATTCCCTGCCAACATGGCCAGGGAGGTGATGAGAATTGTTTAACACATCTTGAGGGGGGGGGGAAGCTGAGTGACCATAATGTCATGATGTAGCCATTCAACCAGATATCACTGAGCAAGTAAGATAGAACTTATCTTGAAGACCTGTTGAAGATGCATATTCTTCAACGTGGTTCCCGGACTATTCTGGAGGAACCATCCTAATATAGACCTCAAGGACTTTCCCACTTTCAGGGAGAACATATCTGCACCGACATACATAATTTTTGAGGTGGGCTCTTTGGGTCAACATTTATTTATATCAATCCTCAATTTTGCAGCAAGGTTATGTGCAGAGCTAATTGGTTCCCCTTCCTATCAACCGCGAAGTCCTCCAGATCTTTTTTCTCCACTGCTGACGAGATTCTCTTTGGGCCAAACTTGAAGTTATTTCACACTAATATTTCTTTTAAAGCAAATCTTGGCTCAACTCTGTTTAGTTGTCCCTTATATCAATGATTAATTCATTTACTTTCCTTAGTGTCAGCTTTGAAAGTTGAACTAACAACCACATGTTTTCAAAATGGCCAGTCTGACTTGAGATTTTTAAGTACAGTTTCCGTCTGAGCAATGGCAAACAATATGCAATGGATCCCACCACTCAACCCAAGATTTCCCCCCTCCCCACGTTTGGTTTCTGAGAATGCTTAACTCCAAGTTCTCCAGACACTTTAGGAGATCAACACAACCAACCTTGAGAAGAATCTGATGACATTTTCTGATAATTATTCCTCTTAAAGATCTACAAACACTCAGACTTCTGTGTGTGGAGAAGATACTGAGGACTTTCACGAGTGAATGAAGCCCAACAGAGCTGGGTTTTTTATCTACGTTCAATCCCAAAGTTCTTCACTTGTCAAAATGGTTGTTAACCTTCGGAGGAGGGAGGGCTCATATTTTTGAGCATTCAAACATATTGAAAATGTTTTTGGGCTTTTTAAAATTCAATTATTTTTTGGGGGGGGGGGAGACTTTTGATCATTTTTTTAAAAAAATGTTTTTATATTTGACTGAGGACATTGGACTTCAGATTTCCAGGTGCTAATCTCTTTCTAGGTCAACTAGAAAAACATTTTGGTAAGCCTTAAAGCTGAGACGAGTAAGATTGACCTGGTTTGTGACAAGCCTTGAAGAAGCTGGGTGTCAGAACTATTTGCAACAAAAATTCCTCCTTGTTTTTTCCAAGCCTCTTTGCAAAGCTGATATTTATGACTTTTCCTCCCACTGGGCTTCTCCCAGGGTGATCCTTGTAATCCTAGTAATAACATCTATAAATTTAGCAGACTGAGATTTATTGTAGTATTGAGGACTTATCTGGGATAGACTCGGACCCTCTCTGGTGGATTCTCTGCAGACCTACACTTCAAGGCCATTTTTGAATGAGCGACTCTAACGGGGCTGAAAATGACAATATCTGGGAGTTTTGCAACAAGCTAAACCCCAGCATGAAGAGGGTTTTGTGAAACTCTCAGCATCTTTTTCTAGGGCTTCCTAAACCTTAAAACGCGAGGAAGGGCACCGTGTTGATAAAAACACAACATTACAGCCTTTCTCCACTTTCCAGATGTTTTAGACCACTTTTTCAACCCAGCCCATGGGTGGCTAAAGTCCAGGCGTGGCAGAAGCTATATGTCCAAACACCTAGAACTGTGGTTTCTTAAGCTTTAAGATGTGTGAACTCCAACTCCCAGAATTCCCCAGCCAGCACAACTAATTGGTTAATATGGCCAATGATTTCAAAAAATGGCCCAAATTCAATAAAATGCCATAGCTGTAATGTTTCTTTCCCTTGTCTGACCCCTCATAAGCCTACAATAACCCCACATGTATTCTTCCTCCATTATAGATGTATGTTCCATTAAAAAGAAATAATAAAGCAGGCTTCTGTGTATGTGTGGATGAGGACTGGGTGGTTTTCCTGCACTGAATTCCCCAGACAGCCTATGAAGTATCTGAAATAGCAAAAGACTTGTTGGCATACAAGTGGGAGAGGGTCTCTCCCCCCCCCACAAAAAGAGAGATTTCTTGCTTAATACGCAGCTCATAAACTCTCTTGTTTTTCTTGGAAATGGTTCCTCCAGTCTCAGATTACGCCCAAACCACCCTTCAAAATCTGAATTACGGGATTTGCGCCGTGCTCTTCGACTCACTGAATTATTTGGAGAAGGGGCCAGCTAAACTCTGTTGTCCTACCTCGCCATGCTGGTTTTTGCTTTAAGCTTTCTTGGGATGCTGGTCATTGTCCTTGGGCGTTTCCTAAACAGTCCCAAGAGGTTCTCCAGCCCTCCTTTGGGTGGGCTGTCTTTTGATGGAAGGGGGGGGGAGCAAACGCTGTCGTGAAACAACTTTCTCTCCTGGGATTAAAAGAGGAAATAGCCGGCATTCTTGGGCCAGAAGGAGAACATCAGAGAGGCCTCCAGATGGAGATTTCCTCCCTGCCTTTCATCGGGCGTGCCAGATTCTGCCTGCTTTGAAGGCTGAAAGAAGCTCAGCAAAGGACAGAATTGGGGTGGAGGAAAACAGGCCTTGAGGATGGTGTTTGTGTGGTCCAGGCCCCTGCTGGACAAGGGTGGCCCTCGGCAAGTTGCCAAAGGTTTGGGGCCCTGTCCTTCGGGATTGTCCCAAAGGTGCTTTTCAAAAGGCACCTGGTTCTAGGTTGCTTCTCTCCTTGTTCGGATGTGGGCATCCTCAGCCTAGCTGAAAGTTGACCCAGCCTCCCTTTCCTCCGAACAGGTGGCCAGGTGGGTGAGCTGAGGGAAGCTGCAACCTTCTTCCCACCCTTGGCTTGTAATGGGCAACCCGGACCCCCCTTTGGGCCCTTTTCATCAGCAAGAGGATGGGGTGCGTCTCTTCCCTCTCTGCATGCGCTCAACTCCCAGCACAGCCCTGCTTTAAAAACCCCAATTCCTGATCTGCTTGCACAGCCTTCCTCCACTTTAGGTCAAGGTCCCCCTTCAGAGAAAGCCTTAATTTGCCATTTGCCTAATTTCTCAGAAACAGAAGCAACAACCCGGTGGCAAGGCGGCTGTTCGACAAGGCAGAGCTTGTGAAAAAAAAAAGTGAAAATGCTGATCTTGAATTCGGGAGAAACCTCAAGAGGGACTAAAAAAAGGCTGCTTGGAGCGCTAAAGATTGGGCTGCCTCCTGGAACAAAGGGAGGCTGTAATTTAGCTGTTGCTGCGGGTTGTCTGTGACCAACATGGGCCAGATTTAGAGAAATCTGTCCAATATTTATGACAGGCAGAGAGTTGGAGAGAACATCTACTCCTTTCATTTCTTCTTCCCACTTCAAGGGGAGCTTCAGCCGAAGCCTCTCTGCCTCCCCTCCCTGCCAGCCTGACTTGAGGTGGCCCCTTATCCAAAGCTCCCCCCCTTCCAGGGTTGTTGAAAGCAGGAATGCCTCTGGCTCCTTCCTGGCTCTCTGCTGCAAGGTCTGCCATTTAAATTTTGTTTAAATCTTGCATTTTGTCACCCCAGCTGGCACGACACACCCTCAGAACGAATTGTATTAGAGGGCTCAGGGCAGCAGGGATGTCTTTGTGGTGCCTAAAGGAAGATTTAAAAGAGAAAAAGCAATACCGTCGCTATCTAAGCTATTTCTCGGAGAGCTTTTAAAATGGGGACTAGAAAATCATCTGCTATGGAAAACTTTTGATTCTAAAACACTGGTGAAAACGGGCAGACTAAAATGGGTCGATTCGGCCCTTTTGACCAAATCTCCTGTTCAGCAGAAGGCACTCTTCAGATCCAAAACATCTCAGGATGGTTTATTTTTAAGCATCTCCTCCTTTTTGCCTTTGAATGAGGAGGCCTATTGTTGACCGGGATGGCTTCCGAGTGGATTATCCAGTTGCTGGGATCAACGGCAAGCAGACGATGCTTCGGCAGCTGAGCACTGTTTTGGCTGGAAACCTGAGCTGCCAATAAATTATCCCAAACACAGGGTGGCAGCTGGCACTTGACCGGGGTGAAAAACCTTTCCCTGTCGCCCACTGTCTGCCGGCCTGCTCTTCTCCCGGCCTCTGAAGAATGCAGAGGCAGATTTTGCTGCCTGGGTAGCCGTTGCAGAAGTGAATGGCCACGTTGGGGGCCATCCCCATCTGATCAGCCAGCCTGGACATGTCAATTGATCCCTAATTCAAAAACAGTCCCCTCTGGCGCCTTCAATAGAGCCCATTCCGATGAGGCAGACTTTTTTAAAAAAAAAATCACCAAGAGCAGCAGCTGCCTGTGTACATTCTGCTGCTCTCTCGGGCCGGTTCTCCAGACTGTCCAGAGCTACCAGATTTGGGGAATGAAAAGATCACAAGCTTATAGATACCGCCAGGCAACAGGGGGGAAAGCGCCAGACTTCCAATGTCATTAGGACGGATACAAAAATATAAAGTGGTCTCCAGGCCTGGTATAGTATTTCTCAAGCTTGGCAGCGTGAAGATGTATGGACTTCAACTCCCAGAATTCCCCAGGCAACAAGCAACTCTTTGCCGGCAGATGGGTAGTTTGGCCTTGTGTTTTAAGTTACCAGGCTAGAAGCCAGGAGATGTGAATTCTAGTCCTGCTTAAGCACGAAAGCTGGCTGGGTGATTTTGGGTCAGTCCCTCTTGTCTCAGCCCAGCCAACCTCCCAGGGCTGTTGTGATAGGGAAACGAGGAGGAGGGAGGAGTATTAGGTATGTTCTCCGCCTTGAGTTATTTATAAAAGTAGTAGAGGTGGGATATAAATAAACACAAATTAAAAGAACTCATTGTTCTTTAGAACAAACATATATTATCTCTGCATGTATAGCATAGGCCGAACAGCAAACAAATCTGAAATCTGTGCATTAACAATCAGGTGAAATAATATATATATATATACACCTTTCTTTAGAATTCCAAGCTAGAAAATAACAAAACAGAGACAGCTTTACTGTACTTATCAGGTTTTTCCCTCGCGTTAGGGGAACGTGAGGCCAGCAGCATAAAATTACGCTGCTGTTACCTCCAAATCAAGGACCAGAAATGTAGCTGTAAGCTCAAAGAGCTTCCGTACTGCTCTAAATCTACCCCTGGAGGGAGAGAACCTTCGGATGTCATACGTCACTGCTTGTTCCTGTGGACTCAAGGATCATACTTGAAACAGCCCTGGGAATTTTCTTTGTAACTAAGAGACAGCTTTAATACCCCTTCAGGGGCCATCCTAAGGCTACAAATCAAATCTCAGAGGAAGATTATTCACACAAAGGAAAAGAAGCCAAGAGCAAAAAGCTGCGGCATCCTGTTGGCTGTAGTACAGTCTTAACATTGTGCGTACGAGTTGTGCGTCTTTCCAAAATGCAGCAGGTGTTGATGGGTCAGCGCCTAGATGTCGTGCTGAGGCTACAAGTGGAAGGAAGGGAAGCTGGCTTCCAGGTCTCGCGGTGCAAAGGAGCCCTACATACTGGCTGCATTCTTCTCGGGTCCAGAGGTGTTTGACCCCTGCTTCAGCTTGTAATCCGCCAAGGCAGCCTTGATGGCGTCTTCTGCAAGCACTGGGGAGAAGGAGAGAGAGAAGCTGCCAAAGCCTGCAAACACATAATGCTGCTGCTTCCAGCAGGGGGAAACAAAGATCTCCAGGAACGCAATCGACAGGCACAGTGAAAATCCTACTCACTCGAGCAGTGCAGTTTTACTGGCGGCAGGCAGAGCTCTTTCGCAATATCCGTGTTTTTTATCTTCAAGGCTTCATCAACCTGAAATTGACCCAAATTGATAGTTTAGCAAGGCCTGGGTTGCTCTTGGTAACTCTTTCCCAAGGATCTCACCGATAAGGAGGTTCTCACAATATTTTACACGAGACTCTGCCCCACCAAGGCTGAAGGCTCACACATGCCCTCAAAGATGATGGGAGACGGGACGTAACTCCAATTAAATAGGGCCAAGGATTTGACATGGGCAGGACGTACCGTCTTCCCTTTCACCCACTCAGTCGCCAGAGAACTTGAAGCGATTGCTGACCCGCAGCCAAACGTCTTAAACCTGGCGTCAACGATTTTCCCGTTTTCGTCCACCTCGACCTGAGGGTAGTTAAAAGACACCAGTTGCCCGTCCAGACAAAGCTAACAGAAAGGGATGGGACAGGCCGGGAAGGTTGAGCTTCCCGGGAAAAGCAGGGCCTTTTGCTTACTTGCAATTTCATGACATCCCCACAGGCTGGAGCCCCCACAAGGCCAGTCCCCACGTTCTTTGCCTTCTTGTCCAGGGAACCGACATTCCTGGGGTTCTCGTAGTGATCCACGACCTGAAAGAGAAAATTCGGGGCAAAACCAAGAAGACGATCCTTGAGCAGCTGAGAGAGAATTCTCCTAACAGAGAAGAGAGGCAGAGAAGCCTCCCCAAATAAGAGAGAGAAGCCTCTCCTCTCTACCGCCTCCCAGCTTGTTTGGAGGCTGCAAAACGTGACCTTTGAGCACCCTAAAACTTCGCCCCTAAATCGCTACGAGAGGAGGCCAAGGACAGTGACTGCAGGGCATCGGGGCTCTTGGGCTCACCCCTTTCCGCCCAGCTCCCCGCTATCAGGCCCAGCCAATGCCGAGGCGCTTCGATTTCGCCAAACGGGCTTTGCTGCTTTCCAGGAAGAGGCGGCACAAGAGGGAAAAGGGCCCAGGAGGGAGGAGGAAAACGCACAGCCCCGGGCGCTCCCTCCCTTCCTCCCGCCTCCCTTGAGGGGATCCCTCCGTCTCCCTCACGCCCCATAAGCCCCAGCCTGGGATCCTCGCTCCCTTCCCACCACCCCCGGGCCTGACGCGTGTCCGCTTTGCCGGGACCCGCGTTCTGCAGCCCGTCCTTTGACAGCTCGGCGCTCTCGAGGGGCGGGGCTGCGACTCCCGTTATCGGGACTGATGGAGTTGTAGTCCGTCGGGGGCGCCGGACCGTCTCCCGCCTCCCCTCTCCGGCCTGGCCCACCTTCTCGTGGTAGCCCGCGGCCGGCGGAGGTCGGGCCAGGCCGGGCCTGAGGAGCACCGCGGCCCGCACGCCGCTCGCCCGCAGCGCCGCCATCTTGTCTGTTTTGCAGGCGCTGCGTTGCTGCCGCTCTCTATTGACGCTCCGTCAATAGAGGGCGGGCGACGCGCCCGTGACGCCATCACGTCGCGCCAGGGCGAAAGCGCCGAGCCGCCAAGCCACGCCCCCTTCGCCTTCGAGGAGGGAGGTTAAGCCGCTCGCGGGCTGCCAGGTATTTCTCGCGCTCTCTTCAGCCTGGCCGCGGGACGAAGCCGCCTCGCCCCCAAATAAGGCAACCCGGGTGTTACCGATTTATATAGCTTTTATTTCATTTTTAATTCGGTCCCGTTCCCCATTTCCCCCTCCTGGCGCATGAGCAAGTCCAAGCCCCTGCACGAAGGGGGGGGGCGCTGATCATCTCTGAGGCCCCTTGCCGGCGCCTGCCCCTCACAATTGCCTGTCTGAAGCGGGACCCACAACTCCTCCTCCCTCCTCGTCGCTCTTCCCCACCTATTTGGCCCGGAGTCTAAAATCCCACTGGGGGCTCAAAACCGCCCGTTGAAAGATTTACGAGCCCGGCTCTCCCCTCGCGGGGTCTTCTCCATTCAGGCAGCGGTTCGGACAGCCCGAGAGCTTGGCGCGCGAACGTGCCGACGCAGGGGGCGTCGCGGCGCAGCCAGGGCGGCCTCTGGGCGCGATGTCGGACTGGGAGGAGGACTGCGAGGCGGCGGCCACCGCGCGGATGGAGAGCCCGAACGACGCCGAGGACCCGCTCTCCGACTTTGAGCTGGACCTGGACTCGGACTCCATCAACCTCGAGGACGATCGCGATTACTATGAGTATTATAACCTGAAGGAGGACTTGCCCTTCAGCGGCTGGGGCACCTGCGAGGTTGGGATCGACGTCGCTCGCCTGGAGTTGAAGGTGAGGGGCCAGGGGGCGGGGCTTCGGGCAGACAGGCCACGCCCACCCCTCCTTTTCTTCCGGCCCCCGGGGCTCGGGGTGAACGGAAGGGGCCCCTTAAGGAGCTCGGGAGGGGAGGGGGTGGGGTGGGGTGGGGGTCGAATTAAGGCGGCGTGGCTGCCTCGGGGGGGGGATTGCACGCGCGGGGGGGGCGAGCAGGGACCCTCCCGCGTCTCTAGTACGGGTAGTCCTCGACGTACGACCGCAACCGAGCCCGGCATTTCCGTTGCTAAGCGAGACGGTTGTTCAGGTGCGTTTTGCCACCGTTTTTCGCCACCTTTTGTGCCACGGAAGTTAAGCGAATCCCTGCAGAGCGGTTAAGTTAGTGACACGGTTGTTAAGCGAATCCAGCTTCCCCATTGACTTTGCTGGTGAGAAGGTCGCAAGGGCGGAATCACGTGACCCCCCCACCCTGACACACACACACACACACACACACACACACTGTGACTGTCATAAATACGAGTCAGTTGCCAAGCGGTTGAATTTTGACCATGCGGCTGTGGGGGAGGCTGCAACGGTCGTTAAGTGTGAAAAGCCGTTGCAGCTTTGCACGGCCACTAAAACGAATGATGGTCAGTAGAGGACTCCCTGCAGATTGCCCTGATGATGGCAGAGCAACAATCGGGACGCCGGTCTCCTCCCAGGATTTCCAGGGCAGCCCACGACAGAGGTGGCTCCCATCATCAAAGAGAATCGCTTCCTGGGGGATTTTCTGCTTGTGGGCAGTCTTGCCCCTCCCCCCTCCCCTTTGGGAAGGTGTATTCCCCAGAACAGGGACTCATGCAGAGAATTTAACATGAAGGTGAATCTGCTCTTTCATCTTATTACCCTCTGAGGAGGCCCTCCCTGCATGAGCACGTTCTGCCCGGGGGAGCTGGGCGTGCGTACATTGCTAGCCGTGATATTCTGCATTAGCTGGTGTGAGTTTTGGATCTATACCATTTTATCTTGCAGATTCAATTTCCAGCGTGTCAAGATTCCACTGAGCCTTAAATTAGCTAGGCAGCCTAAAAAGGATTTCTTTCCATCTTGGTTCCACTGTAAACAGTCCACAAACTGCCCATGTTTCTTGGTCTAAGGGATTTCTAGTGCAATCTGCAGCTCCCGATCTGGTGCTTTGTTGCCTTGACTCTTGAGATGTTCCCAAGCAGCGGCCTATTATGCCTGACCCAGGATAATTAATGTCCTGCATAGGAGGCCCCTTCTGATCTTGGTTCCTGTTTATTCCATAAGTAAAATCCGCCAAAATCCCTGGATGGCATTTGTTAGGAGCTTTTAGCTAGGTTTCTGTAGGGCCACATAAATAAAATTACTGTTTTGACAATGGTTTTTAGCTGGACACCAATCCCTATGATTATGATGTTCACCTGGAACTGATAAAACTGCTGCGTGGGGAACAATATATCTCCAGGCTCCAGTTAGCCCGCAAGCGCATGAGTCAGCGTTTTCCTCTCACTGAAGGTAGGCAAAATCTTTTAGTCTTGTTTTGTTCTATTTTGTAAAACATAAATGGAAATTGGACACTGAGTGATCACAGAAAGATTTCCTCCATAAATGAAATTGTTAGAGTTGTATGTAAAGTTTGCATGTAGAGTGAAGACTTTTTAACTTGCATTTTCAACTGGAGCACTTAGTAAGAGTAAAAAGTTGGATGGTTGTGTTTCCCTACCTCCCTTGATGTGCCAGAGTTTTAAAAAATACTGTCCTGTTTATCTTAGTGACCCTGTCACCAGTAAAAATAACCAGACTTTGCATTCCTACCTCCAAAGACTCCCAGAATACTTCATTTTGGGGCAATGTGCGATCCTACTGACGTATTAGGGGTTGGGGTATATACACTACATTTATCTAAATTTTGTATTGTACAGGCTCAGTCTAAACTGACTGTGGTGTAGAATTGCTTGAAAACCTTAGCAGAAAGGCAGCTGGCTTGTTCATTTTGTGTTGCATTCACACCAAGTCCAGTTTTGACAGCATCAGAGAATATATTCCTAGGTGAAAATGGACAGTGGTTTATACTGCTGTGACTCCTGTTAAATGCGCAAGAGCTGCTGTTTTTTAAACAAAGAAAGATGGTTCCTGTGCCTGGGCTTCTGCTCGTTCCCCAGATCAGGGAGGGAGGGAAGAAATTTGGCAATTTAAAGGGGGGAGCAATATTCAACATTTGGCTCAGTCGCCAAAGCCGCAGAAAGTAGAAGCTTTCTGGCAAACATTTTGTGCGGGTTTTAAATGAAAGCTGAAGTTTCTTAATTATGTTGCATGTTTTATCTTCTGTTCTCTGGGTTGTATTAAAAATGGCAGCTCTGCTGTAATTTTAGTTAAAATTACTGGTGATTTACTTGTGGCACCACTAAATTGCCGCCAGATGTTTGACGCCATCATGATGGAAACCAAGCAAAAGTCCAGAGCATTTACTTTAGATAATTATTTAGATTAAATTTGTTTCAGAGAAGATTTTGGTTTCTTGAGATGTAAGTGGAACGTAGCTGTGTGAACATCTGTTCAGACGTAAACCTGTTGAATTTAGTAGAACCTAATTATAGACAAATACTTATTTGGACCTGCCTTAGTGATATGTTATTTAGCAATATCTTTTTCCAGATTAAACTGGGTTAGCGTTCTAACCCTCTTTGGATATGGCTTCTCCCATTTTACCAGGGCTGTGGCTAGAGTGGCTGAAGGATGAGATATCATACGCTAAAGACGACGCTAAGAAGGAGAAGGTTTATGAACTTTTTGAGATAGCTGTGAAAGACTACATCTGTAAGTTTAGTTTTAAATGGATGTTCTTTTCAGGCACAAACTGCCAGGGAATAACAAACCGAGATTAACAACACCAAAACAGACAGATTCAAGACAACAGGTTCTGCAAAGAACTTACCCTGTTGGAGGAAATGAAACATTCAGAGCTAACTTTAGTAGCTTCTTGCCCCAAAAGCAGGCAAAAGTGATTGTCCACCATCTTGGGGATGTTTTCTAGGTCCTGAAATCTGGCTGGAGTACGCCCAGTTCTCCATTGGGGGCATGGGCCGGGAAGGAGGGATAGAGAGGGTTCGCTCAATCATGGAACGGGCGCTCACTGCTGTCGGCCTCCATGTGACCAAAGGAGCTGCTATTTGGGAGGCCTATCGGGAGTTTGAAAATGCCTTGCTGGCGACCATGAAGGTAAGCCCCGGCGTGCTCCGCTCCGCTGCCTGGTCAGGAGATGATTCCCCAAAGGGTGGGCGTGTTTTGTAGGAAGTCAAGACCAGCGATGGCAATGGCGTTTTGGCCTTTAGGCTTTTATACCATCCCATAGTGCCCTATAGGGCTGGGAGACTTTTCTTTCCATGCATGTGCATCCTTTAGCTGCTGTTGGGACTCCGGTCCTCTTCTGCTGCTTAGGACAAACGCTGATGCCTGTGCTTTGTTCCTCCTCTGGCAGCTACCCCCGGACTGCGTCCCAACCCCTGAGCAGCAGCAGGCCACCAAAGCGCAACTCGAGAGGATCCATGCGCTCTATCGTCGGGAGCTGGCAGTTCCCCTCATAGGTAAGGGTCACCTGCAGGCTTTGTGGCTTGCCTCTCCATCCAAGGCCTGCCCCGAAATGCTTCGGCTTCTTGTTCCTCGGTTCCAGCAGGAATCGGTGGCTGACTTTTGCACGGGACACCAAAAGCCAAAGCAGCCGCAGGGTGGCTGAAGGCGAGGGAAGGGATTCGGAGTCTCTGCTCCGCTTCCTGGCTGAAATGGGCTCGTCTCTCTTTCTGGAGATATGGAATCGGCATTTTTGGAATACGAAAACTGGACCGAGGAGCCGATCCCGGGGCCAGTGCTACAAAACTACATCAAGGCTGTGCGGCAGTTGCAGAAGTACAAGCCCTACGAAGAGGCCCTGGTAAGTGGCTTCCCTCACAGTCCATAGGCCGGCGGTGGCTTCCTTCCCCTGGCCAAGGTTGCAGGTCTCCTAACAAAATGGCTTCTAAGTCTGTGTCAAATTCGTTGTATCTAAATGGTATTCTTTTTCAGAACTTTCTGGGATTGTCTTCCCTCCCCCCCCCTTTTTGGGGAGTTTTATGCTGAGCAATTGAATGTAACCTTTTTTTTTTTTTTTTTGTTCCTAATGGTTTCTTTTTCCTGTTCTACTTTCCTGAAAGAGCTTTCTTCCTTTCTTGTTCTTCCAGCTGATAGCTGAAACCCCAAAGCTGGCCGAATATCAAGCTTACATTGACTTTGAAGTGAAGATTGGGGATCCAGCTCGCATTCAGCTGATCTATGAGCGTGCCTTGGTTGAGAACTGCCTGGTGTCAGATCTCTGGGTTCCTTACGTTCAGTACTTGGTAAGTGCCTCCATCAGCAAGCGCTCTCCAGTCTCATGTCCTTCTGAGAAGGAGCTTCAGTTGTTCAGGTTAACCAGAGTAATTCTTGTTAAAAGAATTTCAGACCCTCAGGAAATTCAGGTCTGTGGGGGTACATGGAGTAATAGATCTGCAGAAATGCTTTATCGCCGATTATTTGATATTGCTAGCTTTGTAGAGGGATAACTGTCCGCTCAGTGTAGTCTCTGGCCTTTTCTCTGGCTTCTGAGATTTTAATCCTTTCTCTGTGAAGTGCTGGGCACTTCACAGAGTGCCCAGCACTCTGTGAAGTGCTGGTCTCTCTGAGCAGAAATTCTCCCACTGGAGTGCTGCTGCGGCCCCCAACACCCCCTTCTGGGTTACATAGAACCACAGTAGCTTAAGCGGCTTTCAACCAAGATCGCCTGCTTCCTTTTGTAGGACAGGAAGCTGAAGGTGAAGGAGGTGGTGCTTTCCGCTTGCAAGCGAGCGGTCAGGAATTGCCCGTGGACTGTCAAGCTGTGGAGCCAGTATCTGCTGGCCATGGAGAGGCATGAGGTTGAGCACCAGGAGATCTCAGGTAGGACCAAGAGATCTGCTAGGACTGAGAGAGGCTTCTCTTTTCCGAGGCCAACGGGGGCTTCGCAGCCTCGGAAGTCACACAATGCTCCAGTCCTGTTTGTGTGATTTTCTTCAAGCTGTAGGCTTTCTCAGGAGACGCTGGCTGGTTTTACTTATTTATTTATTAACCTGGAGCAACTCCGCCTGCTCTCCACGTCCTGTGCTGGGAAGGGAGACGGTGCTGGCTGTTTCCCTCTTTCTTTGAGGGCTCCTCCTGGCTCAGGCTGGGTAGTCAAGACTGGAGCAAGGGAAGAACGTGGGCTGCTGAAGTTCTGTTTGCCCTTATTTTATTTTTTTGTCTCCCCCTCTGTTAGAAACCTTCGAAGAGGCTTTGAAAGCTGGCTTCATTCAGGCCACAGATTACTTGGAAATTTGGCAGGCGTACCTGGATTACCTTCGGAGAAGAGTAGACTTTGCCCGAGGTGACTACTGGTTGAGGAAGGTGCTAACCACAAGCCCTCTGACCCAGCCCCTAGTTTTGGCTTCATTCTTCCAAATCCCAGCAAGTAGTCATTTTTGTCCCAGGGCAACACGGCACACCTTGCTTCTAGAAAGCTAGTACCCCAGGGTGGCTTCTGAATGGCCGTGCTATCTCCTTGCTGTTTTTCAGCCTCAAGTCAGGAGCTGGAAGAGCTTCGGTCAGCGTTTGCCCGTGCCATCAAATATTTAAAGGAAGATGTTGAACGGCGTAGGTTGCCTTTTATTTTATTTTATTTTATTTTTTAAAAAGCAATGTTTTTCTGCCACACGTATTAGTGTTTACAAGCAGAAATAATTGTGGCTTAATTCTGTGTTCCTGCAGAGTTCGCTGAGAAGGGAGACCCTTCCTGTATTCTTTTGCAGGCCTGGGCCAGGATCGAGGTGACCTTAACTTATGCTGTTGTTATCTTTTATTTTCTCATCTCGGGTGGGGGGGGAGCACCCATGGATACGTTCAGATTATATTAATAGCTCCCCCCCCCTCTCTCTAGGCTTGCTACTGCAACAACATGGAAAAAGCACGAGAACTCTGGGACATTATCATGGTCAGCGGGAACTCGAAATATGGCAACATGTGGTTGGAGTATTACAACCTGGAGCGGTAAGAGGGAGTCGCCTCCCGTGGTTGGTCTGCCTTCCTTTCAGCCCATATGACCAGCTCTTTGCACTGGCTGCGCTCCACGGCTTGCGAGTGGTCGGGAGGGGGTGCGTGGAGACCCCGTCCTGTTTGTGTCGGGGGCACCGTTTAAGTCTTCTGGGTTGAAAGGGTGAGCCAGTGACATCACCGTTGCCCCGGGGGGGGGGCTCCTTTCATGTCCCCATTAGGCAGCCCAGAAAGAATTCCTTGTTCACTCCCAAACTATGAATGCAAAGTAGCCACGTTTTGCTTGCTGGCCCCAGCTGGGAGGAAAAAGCGCCTTCCTGAGGTGTTGTTGGGGTCCTGCACTCCTGCTGTTTTCCCACCCCAGCTTTCCTTCCTACAGGAGTCCAAAGTCTGGCTCAGTTGTGTCTCTTTGGCTGCATCTCCCTCTCTCCCCCCCCCTCTCTCTCCTCCCTGGCTGCAGGGCACATGGGGATCCCTTTTACTGCAGGAAAGCTTTGTACCGGGCCGTGCAGTGCACACAGGACTACCCAGAGCATGTATGTGAGGTGCTGCTCACGCTGGAGAGAATTGAAGGTGAGCAGCTCCCACCTCCTGCTAGGGCTGACATTGGGGAGCTCATCGTCCTGTGCAGATTCATCCTTTGGAAGCCTGTGTTCCTCACTCTTCCCCCCCCCCCAGCTTCTCTTCAGGTTCTCAGAATGCCTTGATGCAAAGAGAAAGTCGCTCCTTTTAGAATTTCCCCTCCCACAAGTGGGCTGAGGTGGGTGCTCCACACACACAAGCATCCCCAGCTCACAGCGAAGAGTCCTTCTGAAGCCAGAAGCTGGTGGGTCACTGTTTTGCCCTAAGCAAACTCTGGAGCGCCAGGCTTAATCTATCCAGGTTGGGCAGAGTCCTGAGATTATCCCAAGAGTGACTTAGTTCAAGGCACCCTCCCCCCCCCAACTCCCCCTCCCCCATTCATTCAGCAGGACTGGTTGAGCCTTGATGGAACTTCAGAGGACGGACAAGGGACTCAGCCTCCTTTCCTGTCCTCTCACAGGCACTTTAGAAGACTGGGATCTGGCGGTTCAGAAGACAGAAAAACGGCTGGCTCTACTTAACGAGCAGAGGGCAAAGGTGAAGATTTTTTTAAAAAACAAACTCTCCTCTTGCAAGTAAAGGTGGGCTGGGGTCTCTGTGTGAGTGTCTGACCTGCTTTCTGGAGGTCTCCTGGGGTTACGAGCAGAAAGATGGGCCTAAGTCTTCACGGTGATGGATGGGCTTTGCTGCTGCAGAGTGGAGGGCGCCGTGGATGAGAACGGCGGCTTTTAGCCTCCTTTGGAGGGATTCAGGGGGGTTTTCCACCCTAATTCTCTTCCCCTTTTGGAAGAGAGGCGCGGTCCAAAGACCTCCCGTATTCCCTTCCCGCGTTACTCCGAAGCGATGCCTCTGAGTTGGGCACCCCTGTTGCCAGGCTCAGCAGTTGCAGCCCAGAAGGGCTGTGAACGTCTTGTGGGGAGAGAAAAGCCCAGACTGGAGCTTCTGCTCATGAGGCTGCTGGTCCTTCTAGGCGGCAGGAAAGGAGGCCGCCCTGGCCAAGCAGGAGGAAGATAAAAAAGTGGAGCAGCGCAAGCAAACTCGGGGGAAGAAAAAAGCCGTCAAGCAGTCCAAGAAGCCCAAAGCCGGAGTCAAGCGGAAGGCAGACAACGATGGCCAATGGGAAGAGGAGGAAGGTAGCGGCAGCATCACTTTGGCCACGCTCTGCTTCTGGGTTTTGGTGCTTGGGATTCTTCGGGGTGACCAGGAAGCTGGAATTAGGGGGAGGGGAGAATCCTGATTTGGTTTGACCTGGCCTTTTAGCAAAAGATACTGAGAGTCCCATAAGCCATCGTGTCATAAGGGATCACGTTCCTGTTATCTTCCTTCTGAAGTGGTACCTATTTATCTACTCGCCTTTGCATGTTTTCGTACTGCTAGGTGGGCAGGAGCTGGGGCAGATAACGGGGGCTCACCCTGTTGCACGGCACTCAGGTCTGGAACCCGGGCTGTCAGCTTTCCAGCTGGCAAGCTCAGCGCCTTTAACCCCTAACACGCACGCACGCACGCACGCATGTCCTTAGCAACCTCTGAATCCCTTCATGTTCCCTGAGCAGCCGAACTAGCTATCAAGAGGCCGAAGGGCGGCAGCGGGGATGTGCCTGTGGAAGTGGAAGACAAAGCGATGGCGCTCCTTGCAGAGACCTTGGACTTCCAGCCAGAGGAAGAAGGGGCAGCAGCAGCTTCCAAGTGGAAAGACACCCCCAAAATGTTCCACGACAGCAAGAAGGAGGGCTTCACTGTCTTTGTCAGCAACCTCCCCTACAGCATGGCCGAGCCAGAGGCAAAACTCCGAGACCTTTTTGCCAGCTGCGGGGAAGTGGCCGAAGTCCGCCCCATCTTCAGCAACAGAGGGACATTCCGCGGCTACTGTTACGTGGAGTTCAAGGACAAGAAGTCAGCTCTGCAGGCCTTCGGTCTGGACCGCAGAGTGGTGGAAGGCAGGCCGATGTTTGTCTCTCCGTACGTGGACAAAAGCAAGAATCCGGATTTCAAGGTAGCCCTCCTGCCGTCGCTCGAGGGAATCCCGGGGTGGGGGTGGGGGGGCGGGGTCAGCAAGGCTGCTTGTAGGGGAGGGAACGGCTCCTGAGCTGCGCAGAAGCAGGAGAGCCAAAGAGCCACTGCAGGGGCACGCCGGTGGTAAGACTGTCCCCGTGTATAGAGAAGAGATGTGGAATTTCCCTTTAGACCAGGGGGCTCCAAACTTGGCAACTTGAAGACTTGTGGACTTCAGCTCCCAGAAGCTGGCTGGGGAATTCTGCGAGCTGAAGTCCACAAGTCTTCAAGTTGCCAAGTTAGGAGCCCCCAGCTTTAGAAACAAGGCTGGAGATCAGAAGCTTGAGCCTAACATGGGAAGTGTGAAACCTGTTAAAAGAAACACCAAGTTGAATATAGAGCCCATCCCTCAAAACACACAAACCCGTACACACCCTGCGGGCCTGTGCTCCAGCTTCCTTCCTTTGCCCTCCTGCAGGTGTTCAAGTACAGCACCGCTCTTGAGAAGCACAAGCTGTTCATCTCCGGCCTCCCCTTTTCGTGCACGAAAGCGGAGCTGGAAGAGGTCTGCAAAGCTCACGGGAACGTGAAGGATATCCGGCTGGTCACCAACCGATCTGGCAAACCCAAGGTGTGCTTCCGGGGTGCTGCCCTGCCTTGCCCACCCGGCAGGAATTCGGGGAGGGGGATGTTGGCCTTCCTAAGGTCCGGCTGGGGAGTGGTGTTTGGAATAAGGAATCCAGAGCAGGTTTGTTTCACCCCTTAGGGCTTGGCCTACGTGGAGTTTGAGACCGAAACACAGGCCTCCCAGGCGGTTCTGAAGATGGATGGGCTGACCATTATGGACCACATCATTAAAGTTGCCATCAGCAACCCTCCGGCTCGGAGAATTCCCGAGGGGCCGGAAGCTGTGGGGAAACCACCCCAAAGTCCGGATGTTCAGCCGGCTCCGGGCGCGTGAGTGTTTTTGAGCTCAGAACTCCAGAATGGAAAAGGGTTTTTTTTCTTTGAACCTTATTTAAGCAGAGGGTTTTTATTTAACCTAAGCCTTTGGGGTTTCTCATTTCGGAAGTTTTCATGCTGCTGGGAAATCAGTTGGGCTTTATGTATGTTAAGTTTTTAGATTTATTTACAGCATCAGCTAGATGGAACTCACGTGGCACACAGCCATCAACGTGTCTTTGGAAACTGAGAAATTAGCAAGGCCCTGTGTGGAGCACCCTGCAGCCGAAGGAACCCTAAAATTTGGGATTGTGGTCTAGAATTGTTTGGAGAAACTGGAGTTCTGGCTGGCTGCCTGGGTTCCATCACTCAGTAGCGTTGAGGCCTTTATCTTCCGAGCGCCCGAAGGGCCCTAACGGTGCTGCATCGTGGTCTGTTCCTCCCACAGCCGTCGCAAGGGAAGAACCCAACTGTCGATGGTCCCTCGTGCCTTGCAGCGTCCCAGCAACCCAGCAGCCAAGGCGGCGAACGGCACACTGGAGAACCCGCCCGCGACGCCCTCCCCGTCGGTGGGAAAGCCCAAGATGATGTCCAACGCGGACTTTGCCAAGCTGCTGCAGAAAAAGTGAACTGCTGCCCTTGACCAGCAAAGCGGGGGGCTGCCAAGGCCCCCCGGAAGCCATCGGCTGGTCTTTCCCCGAAGTTACACTGCGGCTGATCGTGGCTCCCCTCCGGTTCCAGTTTGGACTTTATGTCCACCGAAAGCCCGAACAGGGAGGGGTCGATTCCCCACCCCCTTGAATTACCAGAGGGCAAAGTTATTGAGTTTGGGGTGCGTGCGAGGAATTTGTTAAAAATGGCTTTAAATGCTCCCTCATATTGGGGGTTTCATGTGACGAGAGCTTACTTCGAAGCTGAACACAGTATGTTTTAATAGTTGGGTTTTTTTCAGCTGTTCTCCAAATGAAGAGTTTAATGTGAATTGAGTCTCGATCTAGTTTATACAAATCCCACCACAGGCGCCGAGCTAAGCTGGGCAGCTTTGTGACGCTGCCTCCGTGCACACAGGAGCCTCGAACCAGCCCGGCTCCTTTTCATGTACAAAATGAGTATAAATAGCAGATGCGAGGAACTTCCACCATAATGGCCTATTTTAGTATTGGGGTAGAAGGACAGGTGTTTCTACTGACCGGTTTGCTCAGAGTGGAGTCTTGTCTTTTTATACACAGACCCAACCTGCACACACCTCTCTTTGCGGATGTGAAAAGCACATGCTGGTCATTTTTGAGCTTTCATTGACCCAGCACTAGAGGGACAGACCCTCTGCGCAGCTTCGGTGTTTCCCTTTGCCAGGTTCCTGTAATGGCCTCTAGCCAGACCCGTTTGGGTCCTTGAGAGGTTTGGCTTGCAACCTTTTTTTTTTTTAAAAAAAAGTTGTATACAATGTGAAATGTGAGCCTGCGGCGTTTCCCCCTTTGGGTTCATTAAAGTTGTTCTTGCAAGTTGAGCAAGTGTTCCTGCTTATTTGACCTGCTGAATCAAGCTGAGGGTGGTGGGCGCTGCTGTTTGCAGAAATGGGGAGAAGATGCCGGAGTATTTTTTTAAAAAAAACTCTGCATTTTGAACCTTTAAACACATTTCTTAGGGGGACCCTGCCTTACCCCGTGGTCTCCGATTTGTTGGGACTTCAAATCCAATAATCCTGTTTTGTAGATAGGCAGGCCCTGGGTGCTGGAAGGGGTTAACTGGGCCGCTAGCTTCCCCCCTTTGCATAGTTCCTCCCTCGGCACCTGGGTTAAGGACTGGTTAAGGAACAATCCACCCAGCCACATCTGGAACATGCAGGCATGTTGAGGGCTGCTGCCAATAAGGAGCAGGATGCAAGGTGGGCATGAAAGAACACCTAATTCCTTGTTCACAAAAGCAACTCACAGCGGTAGTCAATTCTGCTCCCTTACTTGAAAACTAAACAATATCACAAATGAAATTCCAGCACTTCAGGCTGCCCATCTTATTTGAGTGAACTTTTCTGCACGCCTGTAGAATGGCCCTAATTTTGTGTACCTGGGAGTTGTGAGGGAGAAGATGTAGTCCTCTTGTTTTTTTTTTAAAAAAGAGCCAGAGTCGGTAAATCTCTTTATTGTAACCAACCAAATACGCAGAGACTGTTGTGCAAATGCACTTTGTTAGGCGCTGCTCATATTTCACACACTGCATCGTGGTTGTGCCTGCCCGGCTTGCCTTAGAAATAGACCGCGATGGGCAGTCGGCCCCTCCCTCCCGTCTGGACTAAGATTGCATTGCGCCTGTCCCAACGCCTGCGAGTCATGAGCAGGAGAGGGACAGGGACTCATTCAGTGGCACAGATTCCGAGTTTGCAGCTTAACAAAAAGCCCACCCCCATCTCAACCTTTTCTCCTTTGAAATCAGGCAACTTTTGCACGTTCCGAGTGGAACAGAAGTAAAGTGCTAACAGAGAAGGGCTTTCAAGAAGCCCTTTGACTTTGAGTATTTGATGCTTGATAGGCTTTTTGCACAGACAACATCACACCAGAGCCAAACAGCAAAGGTGGGTTACAGGATGGTGAGAGATCTCCAACTTCCAAAGAGTGGACTCTGCTCTGGTATTGTCTATTCACGGTTTTTTGTTTCTTTTTAAAGAGCAGTCCGAAGCCCACGGAGTCCACAGACTTTGCTTTAGGCTCTGGCCTGAACTGAGACCTCTTTCTGGAGTGGTTCTGCTGGGGAAGAGCTAAGGCACAATTCAGTACAAATACACGTCCCTATTAAGGCACTGGCAGGCAGGAAGCTGGTTCGGTTTTAGGTTTGAAACGGCTACAAACATAAAGGAGGGCAGGTGAAATTGCAGCTTTGTGGGATTCACACAAGCTTCCTTTCCTAAATAGGTGGAGTTTGGGCCTCCCCGTGGTTAGCAAACTGAACAATACCAAAACAGCATCAATTCACTAAGCACAGCAATGAACTCCTCAGCCAGGCTTGGCTGGGTAAAGTAACAGCCGCGTTTTCCATATCTGACCATCTTTGGCTGGAAAGCTGACCGTGGGTAGGAATTTTTTCCAGCTAAAGTAGTCCCGTTTGACACTTAACCAGCCCAAGCAGTTCTGAGGCGCTAAGACTGGCCTGTTCCCTTTTGCAATATAATTAGACAAAAGCCTATTGAGGGTAATAAATATGGAGAGGTCACTGCATTAAACAACTTAACTTAGAAGACATAATTAAATAAATGAAATGTTTTACAGAAAGTGCTTTCCCAGCTCTTCTCCCGTAGGGGGCGTCCTTCGCTACCAAGGTTCAGGTCCTAGTTTTGAGCAAGATGGTCTGTTTGCAGTCCGTGCTGCTGCCCTCCTGGGCTTCAGGAAGGCCCACCGAATGCTCCGTGGTAGCGAAGAGCAGCATGTCGAGGGTGGTCTCGGTGCACTTGGCAATCAGGCGGATGAACGGCCGGACATCCCCTTCGTTGGCCACCTCCAAGGCGTGGTAGTACTCGGCCCGCTGCTCCTTCCGGATGGTGATTGGGGGGTAGCCGGCCTGCATGAGAATCAGGTTCATCAGGAGCCGCGATGTCCTCCCGTTGCCATCTACAAACGGGTGGATGTACACCAGTTTGTAGTGGGCCAGAGCGGCAAACTCAACCGGGTGCAGGCTCATGGCATCCTCGGAGTTGATCCACTGCACAAACTCCAGCATCTGCTTCTCCACATCGCGAGGGTGGGGCGGGACATGGTGGCCAACGAAGACATGGGTAGTCCTAAATCGGCCAGCCTCAATGGGGTCCACGTAGCCCAACACCCTCCGGTGGATCTCCAGGAGGTCCGGGAGGGTGACGGAGCCAATCCTAGAGACAAGGGTGGTGTTGACATACTTCATGGCGGCGTGCATGCCGATGACCTCGTTCTGCTCCTCCAGGCTTTTCCCGGGAACGGCGTATCGGGTCTCGATGATGTGCCGGATCTCGGCAAGCGTCAGAGTGTTGCCCTCGATGGCCACCGTGTGGTAGATGTGGTGATAGTAGGACTCCTCCATCACCCTCCGCAGGGCAGAGTTGCCTTTGGGGATGGACAGGACCTTCCGGACTTTGCTGTCGATGATGCTGAAGTACCTCTGGTCGATTTCTTCCACAAGAGGCAGCGTCCGGTCCCGGCTGACCAGAGCCTTCTCGTTGTGTGGGGAGATGGTCAAGGCTTTGGAGTACAGATAGTCGGCCTGGATGATGTCCTTCTCCTCCTCGGAGAAGAGGCCAAACTCGGTCAAGGCATCCACGTAGTCTGGGTCCATCTTGAGGGCGTGCAGGAAGAGCTTTTGAGCTTTTTCACGCTTCCCTTGTCTTTTCATCTCCAACGCCTGATGCAGCGCAGCTTTGGCTTCTAGTCTGACCTCTGAAATGAAACAGCGCATTTTCTTCAGCAATGTGTTTTGCAGGACATCTAGATCAGGGGTGTCCAACCTTGGCAACTTTAAGACTTCAACTCCCAGAATTCCTCAGCCAGCCATGCTGAGACACCCCTGATGTAGAGGTAAACCATTTCTACCCTCCGTTGTTAGACAACTCAGCCTAACCTCATCTTGATGGTGAATTTCATGCTTGTTCAGTTAGCTTTGGTTATTTTGTGCCTTGTATTGAAGCGCATATGGATTCTTTCCAGCAGCTTCTTGGGGCACCTTCACAAAACCCAAAGTTAAGGTAAGTTTGAAATCAACCGACTTAAGAAATTCAGGAACAACTAAAGGAAACGGTACTTCTCAAAATGCAGTCTACACACACAAAAGAAAGGGTGGTGTCTGGTTAGGCTTAACTTCCTCCACTGGGTGCCTCTGCATGTATTTAGGAGGAGCTCCTAACATTCTCAGTCAGAATTGTGGGAACTGAAGTCCCAACACGTCAGCAGAGAGATAACAGGACAGAGAGATTAGTGAGATTGTTTACTTATAATCTGCAAGCATCATCACCAAGGACCCCCTCACTTCAACCCACAATTATTCTCCTTTATTGGTGCCTCTTTGGAGAGCAAATCCGGAGTGCACGCGAGGGTCCAGGGACGCACCTGGGGAGACTTTGGGCTTCAGCACCATCAGCTCCAACCCGCCAGAGGTCACGCTGAGCTCGGTGGTCTGCCCCGTGTAGGTGGCGACGCCCATGTAGCCCAGCCCCAGCTTGCTCCTGAGGAAGGCCCAGCCCTGGAGGGCGGCCTGGCACTGCTCCTCCACCAGCAGCACTGGAAGGAGCACCACCAGGAGAGCCGCCAGTACTGCCGCCAGCACCGCCGCCCAACGGGACCGGAGCCAGAGGGAGACCCATTTCAGCTCCGGCTCCACCACTGTCACCGCGGCTGCCATGGAGACCAGGTTCATCTGCGCGCCAGGAACAGCCAGGGTCGCATCCTCCTCCTTTTGGGGGAGGGGTCTCACCTGGAAAAAGAAGGGGGGATTAGCAGGGCATCCCCAGGTGACTCTCCTCACCTCTTTTGCACAACCCAACAAACCCAGGTCTGGCTGGGGAGCCACCCCTAACTAGGCTCTGGCAGCAGCGCCCCCCTCGCCCATGGGGGGCTGTGAGAACCCCCCCAGCCAGACCC